CTCAACGACGCTCAAACACTCGAAAGAACACCGAACAAATTTCGAGAACAGCAAAAACAATGAGCGATATTTCAAAAACCAAAGACGTGAAACCAACAACAAAATAACAACAACTAAAAACAAAACAAAAACATAACGAATTCAAAATGTGCCAGCAGCACATTCATTTCGACCGTATCAAATCGCATCTAATAAAGACCCTATTTTTTTCTCGACACATAAACCGAAATTAGTGTATGCTACTTTTTTTTCATATTCATTTGGTGAATATTTCGTTTGCTAACCATCGCCTTCCAAATGAATCGTAAAATTCTTCGTTCTTTTCTTGTCTAATTTTAGACCGTTTTTTGGGAAACGCCAAATTTGCTACAACCGTGACTATTCTGCGAATAAAAAAAAAACACTTGGTGTTTTTTGTTCAAGCGTACCGGTGAATTTCAGGTAACTACGGTCGCGCTTTTGCGCTCGATTTAGCCCGAATTACGATCATTTTTATTTTCGTTGTTTCTACTCTTGCGTCTCTCTGTTTCTCTATTATTATTTTATTTTCGTTCATTATGTTTTGGCCAACACATTTCGATTGTCTCTGTCCATGTCTTACATCACATGCGTTCACAGGCGAAAAGAGTTAACTCAATTTGTGTTTAACTTCATCAAGCTGTAATGATGATGTAATGCAAGATGCGACTGACCACCTCGATGATGGGTTTGTTCACATAATGAACTAGTATCACGGTGTATATTTCAACAATTTTGGCTTCTTCAATTTCAATCTTTTTTCAAAGACAAAACAAAATTCTTCTTTGGCTCAACAACGGAAATATTAACTTAGATACAATATTATTACAAAAAAACGATTGAAATTATTAAATTTGAAATCAAAACTGAAATGATCAGACAGGCGATTGCCATTTTTGATTCTAATGCAGAAAAAAACATGACGCAAAAACATACACAAGAAGACAAAAAAGCATTTGTAAAATTATACACTTATTACGATCATTCCTTGAATTCGTTCCCAAATGATCATTCGTCTGCCGCACCGAAATGATTAAGCAATTGAAATCAAAGTACGTAAAATGAAAGAAATGCTCTCGAATCATCGAGGCTCATCCTCTTCAATATTTTTTTTTTCGTTCAGGCATCCAAATGGAATAAACGAAATATAATGAAAAATTATAGCTTTTAATGCATTGACCGAGGATGCAAACATTGTATCAGCATCAGTAATGAAATTTTTTAACTTAATTTCGCTGTCCAGATATGCAGCTTCTCTCTTGAGTGCTTCATCAAATGCAATTTTGCTGTTTTTTTATTCGTTTTCGCTTTCGCAAAGAATTCCATTTTCCTCGACACAGACACAAAAACGAGAAAAACAAATCGTGAACACTCGATTTGTTTAATTCTGAAAGAAAGTCTAAGCATAATTGCACATCGAACTGAATTCAAATATGAAACTAGCTTGATTTATTACATCCACACACAAACATTCACACATCGCTGCAGCCAGGCATTCGGCTTTGGATTCGATTCGTTGGCGCGCTGCCTTGAGAGTGCATTCTCTCAATTTTCCTTATTGCAAATAAAACAAAGTTATTAGTTTATGATTGCATCGCGTGTGTATGTTTTTGTATATACTATGTGTATCGGTTGATTCGTGTGGGCTTCTTATATTCCCGTATGCGCGAGCGCATTTCTATGGCCAATTGTAATTTGGCTACATGCAGTTCAAGTGAAATAAAAACGTGAGCAGGTTATATCGATATTAAATTAAGTTCGTGATTACAAAGCATAAAATATCAACTTGAATCGAGTTTATCGTTGCCTTTTTTTCAGTGTATGTGCAAGTGTTGTGTGTATATTCATTGTTTTACATTGGAAAAAGCGGTCCGAATGTGACTGTGATTTTGCTTCTCATCACTCGACCAGCACTACTACCAAATTGGCACGTAACGAACAAATGTTCCGCTTTGTATAGCTGAATTCGGTCTTACTCTCTCGGGAGCAAGAGGAAGAATGAACGCGCGGCAGGCAAAACTGCTGTCATTAGGCGGCAACACATTCATGTATTCTTCGACACTTACCGTTTCTCGGCCGGCTTCAATTTTTCGTTTAATTATTCCGATTTGTGTTCACCATTTAGATTGTGCAGTCATGATTTCCCTTCGAAATAATTAAACCAAATACAATTCGAGAATAGTACATCTTATTTAGAAACCTGCTATTTAACCATTTGTGGTCAATTCAGCGCTACTGGATTCCTTTCTCTATCCCCCCTCCACCACATCTTGCGCGCCGCGTTTTGTTTTGTCGGGCCAAAACAAATTCTTCTAATAAGTTTCCAATTTGTTCTCGTTTTTTCTTTCACGAATTGAATATCTCTAACCGACCGTGTCGAAATTGTCGACAAAACAATATGTATACAATCACACCACATGGAGTTAAACGCGCACGAATTGATGTCTGCCATTTTTTGTTACAATTTGTGAATTTTTCATTTACACGCCGATTCAAATCGATAAATAATATCAAAATAGAAAATCTGAAAATGAAACCAAACGAGAGAGGAAAAGATGTGAAACCATTCGAATTAATAAAGATGCTCAAGAAGCACACCAAAAATGTGATTTGCAATTCGATTTCATCGGACCACGGGAGAGAGAGAGAACACATTGAACGAATAGATATTTATACATGTTAAGAAGAGATCACGAAAGATTCGATGCAAAGAATGAATGAAAGAAGGAGAAAGAAATGGAATAAAAAGAATCCAGCACCAGAAACGAATTTATCTTTTTCACCATTTTGGCTGTAATGCCAATTACTTGTTCAGACTTCAGACAGAGCCTGAAGGCGTTTATGGTTTTTATAATTTTTCTTGTATTTTAATTTAAACGACCTTTCGTAGGAGAGACCAGATAGAATATCGAGTCAAAATGCGATGCGCACATATCGACACACATTCCATTTTCAAAGATATTTTATCTGCGTTTCCCCCCATTCTGAGATTCCAATTTAAGATCACTATCAATTTGTAATTGCACAGGAAGCTGAAATGATCCAGAAATTCGCCTCTTTTTCAAGTTCATCTCGTTTTTATTTTCATTTTATATAAGACGGCCTCTCTTTGTCTCTCAGAAGAGAGAGAAGAAGAATATGATGGTGTTGTAAAAAATGCGTATGTGACACCTGTTTTTGGTAAATGCTTGTAATCATTTTAGCATGCACGTATTTCATGGTGACAAAAATATTTCGGGAATGCATACAATTTGACAGATTAGAAAATGCATTTATCACACACACACACAAAGCGAGTCACACACTTGTTCGAGTCACGAGAAGACAACATTGTAATAAAGTCGCTCAGAAAACCACCGTCTTCGATGCCATCATCAAATGCCAAAAGCGTTCGGCTGTGAGAGAGAATTCGGTGGAATGGTTGTTATTTTTGTGTATATATGTAATTTAATTGGTTTATTTCAATCAGCTCGAAGGTGAACGAAAAAAAAATATAAAATAATAATAATTCAATGTGTGTGCCATCCACAAAGTCTGCCACCAGCATCTCATCTCATCTCTCGTTCTCAGCCCATACGGTTACCATCGATTCGTTTACAAATTAAAATTCCATTTTATAATTTTCAAATATTCCACAGATACAGAATACTACATTGTCCATTTTGGTATAGCGACGGTTCTCGAATTGAGACTCGATGGAAAGTGAGTGAGGCAAATGAAAAACAAAAAACCAAAACGAACGTGAACTTGTATGTGAGAGCGCATTACAGAGCAAACAGCATCTACAGACGAAATAACAACCACACAGTGCAGAACTGCTACACAAAACTTGATTAATTGAATAATCATACACAATAAAATAAACTATAAAACTTAAAACAAACCAACGAACAGGAACAGCAATTTAACAACCGCAGCGAGAGCAGCACGATGAAGTGAAGACCGAAAAAAAAAACACAAACACACACAAAAAAACGAAAGAAAAACACACGGGCAACGTAATAAGAAAGAGCGCGTCCAGGTCGACGTCGTCTTCGTCGATGATGATGATGATGCTGGCGAAGCAGAGAAGATACTTGGCCATACGAAAGATGAAAACCAGTTTCAATATGTTCTTCAGCATTTTTATACAAACAGCATATTTTTCGTTTGGCAACCAGACCAAAACTAAAGAAAAATCGCTTTAGATTATTGCTGGTTGAAATTTCGAAGTGAATTCTTCTTTTTTTTCGATTCAACATTGCAGTTATTGTTGTTGTTTTTGTTGCTGTTCTCAGCCATGGTTCTGCGCTTAGTTTTTTTGGGAAAACATTTCATATCATAAAAATGTTTATTGATTCGATTGAACCCACAGAATAAATGGATGAAGGAGAGCAAGAGAGAGAGTGGAAGAGGAGAACAACGAACACGAAATCGATTCTGAAATGGAAGATGAGAGAAGCGCAGAAAAAAATTGCCAACCAGCAATATTGTCTCATAATTGGAAGAACTATGGCAAGAAAGGGAGAGAGAGATAAGAAGCACAGCTAATATTATTTTATTTGACTTGGCGATTGAATCGCATTCGAAATGCTATTATTTTATCGAAGAGCATCTCTAAATTGGCAATACGAGTGCATGTTGTTGCTGATAAGATTTTGTGTAATCATAAAAACGGCTAAAGAAAGAGAGGACAAGAACACACCAAAAAAAGAACAAAAAGTATGAACCGAACTGCACATGCACACACACAACCCAAAGAGAGAGGGAGATACAGAGAGAAAAAAAAACGAATTGAAAGAGCTAAATTAACATTTATGGGAGTTCTTGCTCTTGTTTTCACATAAAAATTATTCTTCTGATGATCTTTTATTTTCTCCTTGTGCTGATTTCCTTCGTTTACGTTGCATTCTGATTTCGAAATCGTCTTCAATTTAATGCTCTCTAGTACAATGGCACTCGAACAATGCGAATCTTCAAGATCTCTCTCTCTCTCTCTCTCTCTCTTCCTCGTTCCCTCTGGTTTTTTTGCGGGCTAAAAAACCGCACCGAACTAAAAAAGAAGCACAAAAAAGCATAAATGCAGACAAATTCAAGAAGATGAAATAAAATTCAAACAAACATTAGTCCATATTAAAAATTATGATGATTTCTTTCCATTATATTTCCGTATTGTTGTTGGACGGTTTCGCTTCGCTTTGTTCTGCAATGCCAAACAAACGAAATCGAATATTATTATTATTTCATCGTTTTTTTCGCAAGCAATCGCAAATGCTAAGATCCGATCTCTCATCATAATCGTCATCATCGTCATGATTCTGGTCGTTTTCGAGCACTGCGCCACAAGTACACAATGTAAATTGAATTGTTAACGACTATTCAAGCGGAGCTTGGTGTGTCTGTGTGTGCGTGTGTGTGCTCTTCACTTTGTTTCTTTATAGTACCGTTTAATTCTCTTTAATGAATAAAATGAGATGCGACGAGGTCGTCTTCCTTCGGTCCATCTACACATCGATTCGATTTCATATTCGTTCATAAGTATAAAACATAGTCTGGAATTCAAAGCATGAGCCAAACGTGTATTCATTTCATTTGCTTCGTTGGAGAAAGAAAGATGCGTTTTGCGCACACCAAATTTTGTGATGAACAAATATGAGTTGAAAGAAAAGGTCATAACAATTACGTTTAATAGCATTTAATCATAACTTTACGAGACATTTTCGCATACATATTTTTGATATTGCATCTCATCCGCGGTGCAAATATCAAAATCAACATCGAAAAGCATGCTTAATTTAATACGGTAACTGTTTAAACAATCAACATTTAATTGGCAAACTCAAGCGACCCAACACAAAAAAAACACGGTGATCTGAAATCATCAAACAAAGCGACAAACTATAATCAATTTTTTTTAGTTGTTCGTTTACAAATGAATACAACAAAACACAAGCACAAATAGTCATAAAATATCGAAATTTATTTCTCCGATTTTGGAAAATCATTAAATGGCAAACGATGAGCGAATGCTTCCCACATGACGACTGCGATCAAAATTGATTTTTTTTCTCACTAATCACTGAAATAAAACAAAACAAAAAAAAAACCGTCAGCCATTACCTTGGTTTTGTCTAATCAAAAATGTATCTATGCATCGTCGAAACAGAATTTCTAGAACAGGAGTCAATTTATGCAAATTCTTTGAACGAAATTTACGTAATTTTGTAATTAAATCAAAATGCTTGCAATCAATTCAATTTTATTAACCGCTTTTTTGCGCATTTTTGCGGCTCCAATCTGCCACCATCGAATGTTGAAAATGAAAATTAAGACCGCATCGATTTTTGCTCATTTTGTGTGAGAAAGTTTATTAACGATTGCTGAAGTGAAGAACGGAGTGTTAGAAGAATTTCGGTGCTTGAATTTTAACGTTCAATCAAATGTATGCGGTTTTAGAGCGATGGTAGAACGTGAGCACACGTTAAATGAAGTCTTCTTCTTTTTCTTTCAAATCAATTTCGCGCTTACAAATGCTGCGGTCTCACAATTTAAATATTATTGCCATAAAATGCTTGTGTGGAATGGAGAATTGCGGTGACGCTATTAGCTCATTTAATGAAATTTAACAACCGCAAACTGACTTCGAATCCATTGAATCTGAATTTGTGTGTTTCTTTAATGAAATACAATATTTCGTGGATGTTTTTTTTGTATTGATATGTGGTTGACAAAACATGTGCTTTGCTGCCAACGCTGTAAAGCTGAAAATTTATGAACCATTTCGTGTATCCGAAAATAGTTCAACCTCCATCATTTTGCATTTCGAATTTTACCATTTTATTTTCGGTTTTTTCGGTTTTGGTAAATAGTGTTGTTTTTTTCCTTTATTTCGTTTTTCCTGTAAATTTTTATTCTAAAAACACTTTATTGCTTTTCTGCAAACACGAGCCAAATTGGAAGACAGATCCCGAAGACACACACACACACACTTGTGCACAACAAAAAAGCAATCATTATGGAAATGCGTCGGAATGGAAATGCATGGGCGACAGAGTCTGTTGCTCTTTAATTATATTTGTGCATTTAATTAGATTTTGGTTTGTAAATTGCAGAGAATTGCATGTGTAGAAAGAGCGGTAGGTTTTTGGTTTAAGCTGTGTGTCCACACAAATACAAACACATGCACTCATCTGCATTTTCAAGTCTTTTGCATTTCTTTTTGAGTTCGTTGTGAAAACTGTAGCATCGCTCTTCCTCTATCCTTGTCGACTTTAGTTTGTGACGATGTCAAATGTGTTTAACGATTGAGCGTCGTTGAATTAACACGAAATTCGAAATGACGGAATAGAAAACGGCGAATGCAAATGAAAATGGGTCTTAATGACATAAAATTTATACTTACCCAATCCCCCTCTTAAAAACATTGAAGTAAAAACGATGATTATCAACTGAAAAAGCACATAAAATTGGATTGAGTGTGCTTTTATTATTCGTTAGTTTGTATATTTGAATTCGGATTTTCGTCGACAGAAATTCACACAGTGATAAAATGCAGTTTTGAGTTGAAAAACGATTTTAATCGTGCTTCTCACATTCAACCAAATTGTACAATGATATTTGATGAGTTTGTTGAATATAACGAAAATCAGCTCTTTCTCTTTCGACATCATCATCATCGAAAATCTCTGTTGTTTGTCACTTTACTCCTATACCTAAAAAAGACACACACACCACTTTCGGCTTTTATGAAATGTCGTACACGATGTGCTTGATGCACTTGTTAAAGTTTCCAAGTCAAGTTCAATTTGGTAAATAAGCGCAAATACACGACGAGATAGTGAACACAGCATTATTTTGTGTGAGTCACAACGACGACGTCAACAGATTTTTGTCTCGTGAAGTATCCTCTTTCCGCTCAAAGAAAAAAAAGAGACACCAGATTTTTAACCAAGAGTTTTGGTATTGCTGAACCAGGCAGATATGCTCAGCCATTCTCGGCAACCAGAGAGAAACATTGTCATTGTGTCTCTAAATTAGGCAAATATTGTTGTAGTTTTGTGCCTGTGAGTGTCTTTCATTTCGATGCTTTTAACTCACAGACGACATGATTGAACGGCTGCACTTTTAATAAAATTCATAAATTTAATGGAAGCTGTTTTTGTTGATGCATCGTTTGCATTATCAAGTTGCAAACTTGATTAATGCCAAATGTGAATGCTGCACAGTGCAACGAGAACTGAAAAGTGCAAGAGAACATTTATGTCAGCGCATCGAGATGCAAAGACAGAAAGATCTTTCATTAGATGGAAACGTTAAGTTATGCTTTAAATAGAGCGTCCTATAAACATCCGAATAAATTAGAATGAATTTAATCTAACTATGCAAATTTTTGCTTCTGATTTCAACGATCGAAACAACTTCTACTTTCGCTCAGCTTTAATTACTGTGACAAAACAGTGACAGCAGCAGTAGCAACCGAAACACATGAATAATACTGGCACACAACGAAATTTCAACCACTTCACAAATTAAAAGCGTACATAGTATGTTGCAACTTTTACGGTGACATTTTAAATAAAAAGTATTTCAATGTATGCCAACAATTCAATGTTTTATTAATAGGCGAACAAATTTGAACAAATTCCAAAAAGCTGCTTATATTCCAAGTGCTTCAAAAATTGTTTGCCAAATATCATATTAACGAAGTGCACAGTCTATAGAATTCGGTTTTTTCTCGGTATTAGACGAATTAGCCTCTCTGAATCAATTATTCAGCAGGGCTTTCAGACAATTTGAACGCACATCAGATTTTATACAGTCTGATAAAAATCACTTTTGCGCATCTTCAATGCTTTTCAGAAGTTTTAATCATAATTTTCTGAAAATGTTAAAAAATACATACAGTAACTAACTGGTAAAATGAAGTTACTGCATTATTACGGAAATACAACTTCGGAAGTACAAATAAATAAAATATTACTCCTTGGCTGAAAATCGTATACTATAAAATTGTGGAGAAACTGCACATTTTCATAAAAAATTAAATAATTTATTTAAAAAAAAGGTGTTTTGTTTCCTTCTCTTTCCACATTGTAGTTGCCTTAATAAAAACAAGTCAAGCTGTTTTTATTTCAATTGCATGCAAACAGAGAAATACAAATTCTTCGAGTATTTGAACGAGGGAAAAAAATGCTTCTTATCATCGGCACGAAATCAATAATAACAAAAACGAAATGTTTGTTGGCCACTGTTTTTCCAAACCAAAAACCAATACCATAGTGAAATGTCAAAAAAATGGTTGGCAAAAAAAGTGTTGTTGCGTCTTTATCAAGTCGTGCATGAATGCCGAGTGGCTGATGCAATTAAAATATATTTGGATATTTTGTCGCGTGATTTCGTCGAATTCCAACAGCAAAACGTACAAACAAACGTTTTACTCCAATTTTTTTTTGCTCCCTTTCACTCACTCAACACAAAATCCCGTACATTTTCCAAATGAAATGCAAGAAAAATGCAAAAGATCGCAACTGAACTGATTTGCGTTGTTGATAAAATTAATTTATTCGCCATTAAAATAAAGTAAGTTCTTGAAATATGCACAAATTCATGCAAATCCGATCCGAACGCAAAACAACTACGACGAATGAATTGCATCCATAAAAACGATCGAAAATAAGAAAATAAATAATAAAGAGCAAGCAATAAAAAAAAGTGAGAGCAAGCACTGTTGTGCGAAGAAGAAAAGTCAAATATGGACTGGCAATCATGCGCGTATTTGCGATAAGAAAATGTGTATAATTTTATGTAAAATTCAACTGAAAGAGGCAACAAAATCGAATCAAATTTGCACCGGCTTTAATGCAAATGCGAAAAGCAATAATAACAAAACCATACACAGATTTTGAGTGCGAATAAGTATGCAGCAAATATGCATATATGCGGGATAAAGGCGAATGAAATGAAGGGAAATGACAGACAGAGAGGGAGAAGAAACCAGTCACCTGAAGAGAAAAGAGCGCTCGCTTCGAACAACAACAACGTCGAATAAACAAACAATAAATTGTCATTTGCTTATCTTAAAACATTTAATAACGACGATTACTACTACTGAATATGCAAAATGATTATTGCCTTATCGACACCCGAACGAAAACAAAAGAGAGCGCGACACACACTTTTGAATGGGCAGCAATTTACATCTCATTTTGAATGGCATTTTGCGCTCGCCAGCGGTACGAAATCAAAAGAGTTAAGCCAATACAAAAGTGGACAGACAGAGAGAGAAGACACACTGTCGAATACAAATGATAAGATTCTGACAAATTTATTACCCGTTTTTCATTCGGGCGATATTTTCATCAACTGCATTATGCAATCGCTGACAGAAGCATACCACAATTTGACAATGTAAGGGAGATTTTTTTATTTCGCCCAAACTGAAGAAAATAAAGTTTTATTTATGGTTAAAAATCAATGTGGCCATAAAATTCACCGAGATATCAACCATTTTCAAATAATGTCCATATGTGTCAATCCAAAACAGCTTACCAATAATTTTTGCTAAACTACTGGATACTGGACACCGCCATCGGATTGCATCGAATGGGATTTTTGTCGCCAATCGGATTTGTCTTCGTGTTATTACGCTGAATTTTTGATATTATGCTCTTTTTTTGCATTACATTCGATTTTTATTCGATGTGTGTAGGAGTTGGTTTTATCTTTATCGCAAAATCCATTGTAAAAAAAGGCAGCGAGTGTTAATAGTGCAAAATTGTGAGAATAATAATTTCAATAAATCCGGATTTTTATGGTTTCGATTTTTATGGTAAATAATCGAATCGGGCACAGAGACATCGTCGAAGACGTGCTAACATTTCTGTTAAAAATTTCGTTTGATTGAATCCGAACAATCAACGAAACCAGAACTTTGCTTTGATGCGCTCAGAATTCTTTTTCTATTATATTACCCTAACAATATGTACAAAATGTGTGAACAAACTATTTTAATATATTACATTTTATCGAAGTTGTATTTCAAGTTTGAATGGTCAAATGGAAAAGTTTGCTTTGCTCATTTCAGTTGAGCAAAATGGCATGCACAGCACTTTAAAATCAACATCTTTTTTTACTATATACTCTTGTCACCGGATTTGTTTTACCCGCTCAAAATGGAATGTCATTCGGGCGATAACATACTGGATAAAATGCATGTTTCAATCATTTTATGTGTAACTAAAAGTTTTTGAATTTTTATGCCACATGAGTCGAGCACAATATAGTCAAAATTGTATGTATCTTTGGTGTATGCGTATGTGCGCTTATATTCATGTGTATTTGTTGATATTTTTCAATTCGTCAGCAAAATTACCATATTCAATGCATAAAATGTCATTGTCACAGGGCGAAATGCGATGTGTGTGTGTGTGGATTTATGTTCAATGCAGATTGTGTAAATATCCAATTTACGAATTCTATTGAATTCGGTGGTGCGTGTACGACTGTGTTGTGAATGGAACTGAAATTATGCAAAGAGCACAAAATATGAAGCAACGTGGCAATTTTTTATTTGTATGAAAGAGTATAAATTCACAAAATTCGTAGGTCGATGCTGTGTGTGTTGTCGTCTGACGATGCTCATTTTGCTATGAAATTACGATGAAAAGTATTTCCGATGCATGCATCATTACACTTTAATGGGCAATCAAAATGTCTCGCACACACACACACATGCCATGAAAATGATGAAAATGCTACACATCGATTTGTCAAGTGAGGAATCGATGTGGCAAGTGGAAATCTGCCGCCACCAGTCACACAGTCAAGTGCTACACACGATTTTATCTACAATAGCAACAACAACAAAGATGATGACGATGATGAAATGATGTGAAATGAATGTAATCTCAACACTTTGCCAAATTTCATGTGTCTGATTTCAAACGCCCGAACCAGTTTGAATAAATCATGTTTGGTAATTTAAATAGCGCGTCGCTGGGATTTATACTATTTTGAATTGCTTTAAGTGCAAAAATAACACACAATGCTTCTATCGCCCTGCATGGTGCTTGCGAGCATTTCAATCGTTTGATTCCATATACATGCTGCCAATTACTGTATCAGTTAGCAATAGCGCGTTAACATTTACTCTTTATATATTCTACAAATTGTTCATCCACTTCATACCAACGAATTTGCATTTGAATATTGGATATGGCACAAAAATTCAGCACATTAGAAACATCAAACAGTTTTTACTAAACGATCGATATTTTAAACTGAAACAAAATTTCAATATTGAAAATTGTATCTATTTTTGTGTACGCGAATTTTATTTGACCCAAATATTCGACTGAAAGTGATTGAAAAGCGCAACGTAATTAGAACGTTTTTGTTAGATTTAACAGTGATGTGAGATTTTGGGTACGAAATTATTTAATCTCTGTATCTACATAGCATGATTAGAAAATACACTTAAAAACTAATCGCTTAAATCATTTTTTCGTATTTTTATCTTAATTGTTGTTCAAACAAAGTTTCGTGATTAAACGCAATTGCGTATGGTTTTCAATTTGACATTATCCTAATGTTTATTTCTGCATTAGTCAGAAACTGTAATTGTGTCACGATATGAGATTATCTAACCATAAGTACTTTAAAAATCCGATGCAAATACTATGAACAACAAATTCAATCCTGAGTTGTCAAGGGTGCTGCTACGATTTCAACAAAAAATTTCAATCAAAATGAATTTGTGTGTTAAATGTTTGGTTTTGTTCGTTGGAATCATTTTGGTGACAGTGAATTAATCATATGTTGGTAATGAAAAATAAAAGAATATTGTTTAAATAAATTTAGAAAAATCAAGGCAAATCTAAATTCCAATTCACTTTCAGATAAGACAAAAAAATGTGGAAAAAATGAAGAGTTCGTAGTAGATTCTCAAGTTCCTTGTCAAAAGATCTGTACTTTGATCAACTTTGATTGCTGCATGGAGAATGCAACGGTGCCAGTGAGTAAGTGCTTTTGCAAAAAGGGCTATGCTAGAGACGTTAACCGAATGTGCATTCCGGTCAATTCTACACAGTGTAAAAAAGAAGTTATGAAAGAGCCATGCTCACCTTGTGGAAGAATTGTCGACTGCGGCCCGTTTTACTAATAATTTGATTGACTTTTCTGGTCAAAAAATGTTTATCCGCAAGTAGTATCTAAAATTTTGTAATATTCCAATGTTTAGTTACCAATATTTTAAGTAATTGCTTTCAATAAACTGCCAAATCGGTTTCGTTGAGTTTCTATCTTAATTAGATTTGATAGACACGTTTATGTTTTTATAGTATATGCTATTTTTTTTATTCGCAGCTATTGAATGAATCACTTTCCCTCAATGAAAAGTGAATTGATATGTTTGAACTTTTTTCTCAATTGCTGCTGAAAAAACACTTCTGGATTTATCAGATGTGTTCGCAAATTTTGCAAAGCATAAAGATAATTAGATTGCCAGATTTGGAAAGCCACTTTTTGCAAGCTAGCTTTATAATAGCTGTTATCATTTTAAAATAAATAAGATACACAATTATACTTACTATACGCAATATACTGTTTGGATTCTGTAAACAAACTCTGAGCACATAGACACAAGATCATTTGTTTGCAGATAATGTGAATGCCATTTTGACTTCGATTTTAATGGGCAATTAACAGAAAATATCGAAACCACTACTGAACAAACTTTAGTGAATCTTATATGATCTCTTAATGTACACTGTATCATGATAAAAAAAATCATTCGAATATTAAAAGCGATAAAAAAAAAGATTTTCATTCATTTATTATTCTACTATTAACAGGTTATTCCCAAAAAATCCCCCGATTTTCTGACGGAGATTTTGCGAAATATCATAAACACAGAAAGAGAATTTATAGATGAACGTATGTGTGATGAACGATGAATGTATGATCACGGAATGGTAATAAATAAGTACTATTTCCATCATATATCATAGATTTTTTGCAACCTTATAAAAAATACAAGAATTGTTCACGACTTAATCGTGTGCAATAAAAGTACGCATACTATTTTTATCGTTGGTATGAAAACGTTTTCGTTCTTTATCGTCGTTTTTTGGTAACAGTATTATGGTTGTGTGTGATCATACGTATGAGAAAGTAACAATAATAATCATCATCATCATCAAAATACTTACTTTATTATCAGTTAAATTACATTTAGCTTATTTTAGATTAATATAACTCTATAAACCATGACATTTGCTTTACAGTGGATAAAATATGCATAAATATTTTTTTATTCATAATATTTATAAGCTTTGTGTTGCGTCATTTGTGCAAACACAATTTACGTATAAAAACTTGTTCCAAAACGTATAGTAAGGTAGTATAAACTCATTGTTGTTCAACTCAATAACAGTTTTACAAAGTAATTTCAAAATGAACGCCAAACTTTTTTTCATTGTCGGTGCCATTATTTTGGGAGCCTCATTAGTTATGGGATCAGATGATACATGTAAGGTTTTTCAGTGGTATTGCATATTTGTGATATTCAAATTGTTAATTTTTTCTTTACTGTGTGTTCAAATTTCATAGGTAAGAAAGATTGTCCAGAGAATCAAAAATTTGTTTGTGGTGGAGGTAGTTGTTTACCAACTTGTAGGACTCAATATCAAGAATGTTGTATCCGAAATATCATGGCCCCTAGACGTTGCTACCCCATTGACGGTAAATAAAATCAATAAACAGAATAAAGTTGTAAAATCGCCGAGATCAAAAATCTAATAAGAATCAAATTTAATTTCTTATGTATTTAATCGTCAAACGTTTGGTTGCACAGGTTACGCAATAAATAAAGATGGTAAAAGCATTCCAATCAACTCCGCTGAATGTCAAAAAGAAGCTTTGCCGAAATGCAAATGTAATAATGGTAATTGCGAAAATGTTCCAGCTTAAATAAATGCGATCAAATTCAAATGTTGATGAAAAGTTCCATTCAAATCAAGAGAAATAGAGAAGAAAGTAATTTGAACGCCGGAATCGATTCATAACTCAAATATTATTGTCAAGCTAAATTTTTGAAAAATAAATCAATAAATAGACAAATCAACTATATTGCCGTTTATAAATTCACATTCCCTTATTTCTAATGGAAAGCAGAAATCTCTTTATCCTTCTCTTCTTCTTAAAAATAGAATTTTTATGTATGCAAGAAATTTTGATTGATGGGAAAATTAAGGAAGTTATTTGTCCCAAGAATGTTATGAACAACGAACGTACTTATTATAGTTTTCTGCATCATAATTGCAATATTTCTAAAAAAAAATGAACAAACTGATCGAATTTCATGACATTTTTCTATATTTAGTCACGTGGTATAGACTTTCATTTACATATGCCTGTATAAATAATCCGACCGATTTTCTGCAATTGGTTGTTTCGATAAAAATACAGTTTGTTCGCCTTTATGAATGACGAACAGATACAAAGAAAGTGTAAGTCATTAAATGACGGATATTTTTGGAGAAAAACATTTGTGCAAATAATATACTAAATTTAACGTGCGAGTTCAACTCTGGCGTCAACATTTTAATTATGCCTGCCAGAAGAACAAAGTCTGATAGACTGAATTTAATTTTTATTAATTTATTTGTTTTAATGTTTACTTAATTGTCTACGTGTGTCTTATCATTCAAAATGTATTAAAATCAAATTCTAGGGTTCTTACTCAAACGCAGATGTTTTTGAAAAATGTCGATTGACATTGAATTGATGAATATATATATATAAAGTATTGTAAATCTGTGGAGAAAGCAGTATGATTTCGTTGTTGTTCAGTTGTACTTTAAAATGAACGTCAAATTCTTTTTCATTTTATTTTCTATTATTTTTGGAGCAGTTCTAATTTTTGGAGACACTGATCCAAACTGTAAAGTGTTACTGTGAAATTACTTATCGTATCAACTTTGACTTTCTTTTAATTAACAGGTACTCCTACAGAAGAATGTAAAACAAATGAAACGTACACTTGTTCAGGGGGTGCTTGTGAACCAACTTGTGCAGATCAGAATCTAGAATGCTGTAAACAAAATATCTGGGCCTACCATGGTTGCCGATGTACAAAAGGTGAAATAAATTCAATTAAAAAGAATGTAGCTGTTTAAATATATACAATATGTATATGTATAAAATCGTTAAACGTATTATTTTGTAGGTTATTTAAGTCTCTCCAATGGCCAGTGTGTTTTGAAGAGTTGCCCTGAATGCCAAAAAGAAGCTAAGCCAAAATGCACCTGTTCCGATTTCAACAAGGGCTTGTGCCAAATGTAAATTGAAGTTTATAAATCCATAATTAAGAATATGTTGAAAAAGTGTGAATTTGATTATTGTTATCACGATAAATTAAATTATTTCAACCACACAGCATGCATAGATTCAATCATTGTTGTAACTTTATTTTAACTTTAAATAAATAATAAAGAGATAAATCAACTGTACTTCATGAGCTGAACCCTTATTTTTAGTCAAAAATCTTTCTTTTATAGAAAGTCTCTCTCTCTCTCTCTCTCTCTCTCTCTCTCGCTCTGTGTGTGTGAGAGAGAGAGAGAGAAGGAGAGAGAAAGTGTGAAATGTTCATCAAAATTGATGATGTTATTTATTCAGAAAAATGTCTTTCTTGAATTCTCTGTTAATGATGTGCTTCTTCCTTTTGCAAACATATTCCGTATACGAACATGCATCACACAGTTTCGTGTGAAATGCTCTGCTACCATAACAAATCTCAATAAAGAGAAAAAGAATCTAACTTAAAACTTTATTGTTTATTTATTGGCCGGTCTCTATTCAATGGCAACTAAAAATGAATATAATCTCAAATTAATCGATGTATTATTTGAATTCAAATTCGTCAAATTTTATTGTTTTTCAATAGAGAAAAATGGTGTGTTCTCACATTTGTTTACCATTCTTTTCATCTCCAATCTATTTTTTTTTATTGAAAATGTGAAAATAAATCTATTCAAAATATGTATTAATGGTTTTCTCTACCAGTCTTTTTTTGCTTTAAATCCATCGCGCATATGTTGTTCGTACAAAAGAGAGTCTTATCTTTTATTAATTTCAAGATCAGCGTCAAAATGAATTTCAACATTTGTTGAACGAGCAATAATGGACGTTTCGGAGTCAAAGAAAACCACAATAAATACAAATTACCAGATATCAACGCAGACACGCATTCAATTCGGCCACGTAGTATCACAGCGAAAAAAGGCCAATAAAATGAATATTTACTTGAGATTTAGTCTGTTTCTCTCGTTTCTTTATCGTCGTCGCTTTTTTGGCTGATTCACTTGGAAATGTTGGTGTTGAATTCACTTTGATGTCGAAACGAATACAAAAGGGAACCGACAATGCGTAGTTGGAAGAAAGCCATAATTATTCATCGGATTATATCGATATTCATGTCTTTATTGAACTAATGGTCATAATTTTTGATTGTGAGAGAGTCCACCAAAAATGGGAAAAAAACGATTCCGATTTTTTTGTTGTTGAGCGAGTGAAAGAATAAGATAAAGCAAAGGACAAATTAATAATTTTTTATATTAAAAAACCGCTCTCGCGCAATCGCAGATGGTCAGATAGTTTTTCTAGTCAATGATTTCTTGCTTAAAAATAAAAGAAAAATGTGCGAAAGAGTAGGTGACACAAATGACTGATTGATTTCTTGTCATCGTTATTAATAAATCGACTCATTCATTGGATCATAAAATTGTTATCGACGAGAACATTTAGGCTCTTGTCAACTGTGGACGAAAGATGAGCAAAAATAAAATCGATCATAAATTTTTAACGTTAAATGAATAAAAAAGAGATGGGTAAAATGGTTCCAATAGACTTTTATTGCATCGGTATGGCAAACCATAAAATAGTTTGCACATTATCAACAGAATTGAGTCAATTCAAACACCAAAACCAACGGACATAATAAAGTTCGATGTGGTTAAATGAGTGAATAATGCCCAAAGAAAGATCAATAATAATCTCTGTGGACCTAGCTGTGGACGAAGATGTGTAAGAGATGTGTTCATCGAACATAGCACTAAGTTCATCCAATGCCACAACCAATTTTTTAATTTCAATTCAGTTCATTTGAATTCAATATAATTGCCTGTTGTTTGTTTATTCATTTCAATAAAAATTATGACCATATATGGAAAGCATTTTCATTTGTCACAAAATGAAATTGGTGATTTTACCTTTTCGACCTTACAGCAATGTAATTCAATAAAATTCAGTTATGTTTTCGAGCTTTACAAAAGAGCACTCTTTTATTTATGTATGTCTAAACCTTACAAGATGAATCAAAAGAATGCGGAGATGATACGAAAAATGTTAAACTGGTATTTAAGCAATCAAAATGCTCAAGCTTTACAAATTTCATCAATTTATCTATATGCGCGATTTATTGTTGGTGGCTAAACTGGAAATTACCATACTGATGTATCCATTTCATCGTTTGTTTCTATTTTTGGCTTTTCTCTCCATTGCAAAAATGGTGTGGTCACCAACGAACAAAAAAAACAGCAAACGACAAAGACAAATGGATGGCAACACTTATTCGATGTCAAATCGGACATAATTTGTTGAATATTATTGATGTTGTCACTATATAAATGGAGAAATTATGGTCATAGATGATGATAGACCCGGAGCCAAAGAGAGATGAAAAAAACTATGATAAATTTCGGATGAGCATATACAACTCAAATTATTTAGCATTCAAATTGAATTTTTTTCTTCATCGACCACGAACCCGATTTGGATTTCAATGCTAATGCTTTCTTTCTTTTCTATCTGTTTAATAAATGATTTTAAACAAAGCAACGAACGAGGAAAAAAAACTTGTTTACATCTTGTGTTGAGCATATGTATCGCCGTTTTGGGCTATCAGCAAAAGTCATGTAGCGGTTGTGACTGCTGTGCTCTGAGTCAATATATAATAATAATCTAATGCTGTGTTTAGATGTGCGGTAAATTATTAGCGCTTGATCATTTATTTCATATTATGCAAATTCAACACAATTCACACCGGCACCGAAGAATGGAATTGTGAATTGTTTGAATATTTATATTTATAAATATGCGCCGCAACAATTTCCCGCGAGTAAAATCGATTATATCCAAAATAGATGCGATTAACCGTTAAGTTTTCATATCGTCAATGGAAAAAAAAGTTCCACCAACGGAGAGAGCGAGAGATAGGAAGAAGACAAGAGCGTCAGCGATGCCAAAGGTTGAATTGTGATGGAAGAAATCGACATATTTGGCATTGTGACGGAATAAAATCCATTGTACACATTTTTTCTCTTATATTTTGAAATCGTTTATTGAATAAAGTGGACACGAAGGCGATCAATTACGATTGGGTCGCTTTTTCACGATTACAATTCTTTCGCTGGTGTTCATCGAAAGGCATATCGATTTTTGTGAAATGCTCATCGCGCTGCGCATTCGATGATGATTATTTTTGTACTAATGGAAGTGAAAGAACCAATCAAACAAAATCACGCAGCATCAAATATGAAAAAGCAATTCACCCATATGGATGGTTTCAATTCGATTCCAGCAAATATTTACAATTTATGTTTAATCGAATTTTAACGGTATAACATGAACATAGTTTTTTTCTTGCTCGATCAAACACTTTACACAAATCATCATGTCATGTTATTTCTATTTCCATTCAAAATTATATTGGCAAATTCTAATTGTTCATTTTCAATACACTCAGATTCAATGATTGCAAATCATTCAAATGTTCTCTCTCTCTCTCTGTGTCGCTCTCTCTGGGTTTCAATTTGAATTTTTGCAGTGGTGAAATTTACACCGTTTCTGTTGCTATTATTGTCGATGTCGAACCAAATCTAGTTCATTCAATCTCTTTCGCTCAATTTTTGCTTTTCGAAATGCACTGCACAATTTAGTGTTGAATGCACACCAAATTGCAAACGTTCAATTTTACAAATTGCAATCAAAGCATTAGATTCGAATGTATTGCATACACATAGTTGTAATTAATGTGGCACTTGATCGTGATTCGAACGTAATTTGCAGATTCAAAGTGCCTAATGCTGTATATATTATTGTGTGTATGTTTGCAACGTGCAAAATAATCGCCTTATCGAAATAGGTTCGAGAAATGTACGTAAACAATATTGAAGCACTCAGAATGATTTTTTATTTTTTCGTTCGTTGTCTCTGCTTTCCCATCTCTGTTTCATTGAATCGTTCAAAGTCTTAATTCATTTCGTTCTCTTGCCGATTCAATTTTCAGCCCATGCACATGCACAATTCAATGCTCGAATGAAATTTCATTTATTATCGGATTGGGTTGGTTCGGCTGTTATTGAGACGGCACAATGCAATGTTCAATTGCTAAATTATGTGCCATTCAATGTTGAAAAATAATATTTTCGGACTTAATGATGGCCAAAATCATTGATCAAGTTCACGCAGTTTGTGTTTGGTCTGAATCGAATGCGCAACAAAATCAATCCAAATGGAAATGTTGTTGTTTTCGAGTTTTTTTTCGCCACAAACAAAGTACCGCTAAAGCGCGGCTGAAGCTATTGAGAACGAAAGAGCCGAACATCAGTTTGATCGACACATTGTAGCCAAGTGCAAATCAGATTTCAGTGGAAATGCCACGACTGAGAGCAATTCACCAAAGCAATCGAATTCATACATATGTGTGAACGAAGAAGAAAATGTTGTAGGTCGCGCGTGAGCGTTTGTGCTAGCGCGCGCGAACGACTCTACGTGCAAACCAATAATATATGTGTTTGCTTTTAAGCATTCGCATGGTCATGAACAACGGTGAAACAATGCAACCATAAACAATCGTAAATGTTCTGGCAGAGTGGAGAAAAATGGGCCGTGCGGTGCGACTGAATGCATTTGCGTGGTGCTCTTTTTTTCTTTCTCTTCAATGTTGCACTTACAATATGGAAGGAATATACATACATCAAAGAAACATTAAAATTATTATTTAAAGTGCGATTATTTGTTATTTATAATGAAATAATCGTACGCACCGATTTATTATTACGTGGGGACGTTTGTTCATTATTTATATGGCATTTTCTTATATGAGCAAATAAATAAAATCAGAAAGTGTGATTTGGCACGTCACTTGATGTCTGCATTCTTTTTTGCTTTCGCGGTGCAGTTCGTCGTGTAAACGCAGAACGTGCATCGATTACGAGAGAAAAAAAAAACAAGATCTCATGTTCGTTTCCATCTCTTTTGCTCACTTTTTGCATAATTTGGATGGTGTGTGTGATCCGGAAAAGAATTCAGAGCACATTCAGAGGCAGTAATCATTTCTCTCTTTCGCACCAAGTGGCGGCTCAAGATCACTGATTTCCTTAATACATTAATTCTTCTCTGCCGTGCGCGCACACACACACTTTTTTTGCCCATTTCTTCTTGTATTTCACCGCACCGGCATAT